CAATTACTGCTTATTACTGAACGATGTTTCAACTAGGCTTCTCTGTATATTCCAGTTCAATTACTAAATGCCATTGAAACAAGCTTCTAGTTTGATACTTCTTCTTCTTCTTCTTCTTCCCCAACTTCACATATTCAGCTAAAGCAAGCACACATTCGTTTCTCTGGGTGATCGATGAGATCAATAAATGACTTAAACATAGCTGTTAACCCCTTTTCTCTATCATTCTCATCCTCTTTAACGTCACCCTCCTCATCCTCCTCCTCCTCCTCTTCACCATCAGCATCATCATCATGAGCATACCCCTCCTCATCATCATCATCATCATCACCACCACTACCCCCACCACCACCACCATCATCATCATCATCAGCAGCAGCAGCAGCATCAGCATCCAGCCTCCTCCTCCTCCTCATCATCATCAAATAAACAGTCCACAAAGAGTCGACTTGGAAATGATTTAATATATAACTATGGTATATTAAAAGTAATATTGTATATTGTAGATGTATATATTGAGTTGATGCGAGGTTATCACGATTTGAGTTCAACTTTATTATTTAAACATGGTTATACAGCACCAGTCACCATCAGATCTTACCAACACCAGGAGGTTCATGTGGTAAGTCAAACCACCGACACGGGTGGGTTGGGTGGCCGATCAGATAGTCGGTCATTAAATCAAGTGCCGTGGCTTCGATTCCCCGCTTGTGCGTGAGAAGTAGTAGGGTCGCCTGTCCAACTTTGTGGGTTTTCTTCGGATCCTCCGTTTTCCTCCAATGGCTAAAAATCCCTCCACGCAAGCGAAATATTGAAAACAATTTGGGATATCCCAAGGAACTTTCTCTGTCAGCACACACCTACCTCTTACATTTTAAAAACATTTGGTTGATATAATTGTCTTTTTGCCTTGCTTCTAGACTGGAGGAAAAAGGATACAGTCTAATCTATTCACCAAGTTGACTGATGCAAACATCTTGAAGAGGATACCACACGAAGCACATGATAAGGTAGGTGGAGTTCTTTTTGTCAATGCTTCTGATTACTATGTACTGTTACTCCAGGGTTCTTTTACGTTCATGCCAATGAGTACCCGGGGCCTCGATTTTTCGTCCCATCCGAACGACTATACAGGCAAGGGGGAACCACGGCGGAAATTCTCGAGGAACTATCTCGACCAACGCCAAGACCAAACACGGGACCTCCAGGTTAGCTAAGCCACCATGGTTCCATAACTATCCGGATAACATCTCTCTGTTAGTTCATTGGTGTGTCGTGCTGTCTTTACTTCCCGTGTTACCTTATTTTTGTCAGTTCCTAACAGAAATATCTGATTTGACCAATGCCATCGACCCTATTGGATTGATTCTATTACACGAATTACAGGAATGACGATCCTTTACTTACTTCCGATATTCCATAGGTTCGACAAATCCACCTTCCGGATGCTGGTGTAACAGATTATGGAACGATGTCGCCCTATGGATTTTATGTACATAGAACAGCTCCACTAGAAGTATTTATAAACGGACAGCCTCTACACTTGGCTGAGTGGCCTAATAAGGTATGTCAACACAGAAATTGTCGAGGTTTGGTTCGAGCATAAGTTTGCCCAATATTGCACACATAAGTTTGCCCAATATTGCACACATAAGTTTGCCCAATATTGCACACACAAGTTTGCCCAATATTGCACACATAAGCACATTAAGGAATTACTGTACACTCCATTAAAGATACATTGTGGGAGATTATATAAAGAGCTGGCAGTTCTCATATAATAGTTAAAAACTAGATAATGTAAAGAGAATATGCTGAAAATTTCAGTCAAATTGATCCATTCTGAACCGAGAATTTAGCGATTGAATTTTAAGCCTAGCCTCGATTATCATTACTAAAGCCGGTACGATAAAAATAAAAACATAGTCTCGTTGTCCCATTTCAAGATTAATTCATGAATTAAAGATGAGCAGACTATCCGATCCTAATCCAATAAATAACACAGACTGACGATGACATCGAGCGTTGATTATGGTAGGGATGCGTAAATTAACGTGTAATTAATAATTTACATAACATTTCAGGCCTAAAGATTTAGCTCTTGCATAATTTATGGTTAATGTTTAGTCTCTATTATCCAGACACATATTCTACTAATATTTCTTTGAAGACTAGGAGGTTATGGGTGTCCAACACTAATTAATTTTAGCACAGGACATTGGTGGCTCATGATCGGAATCGAAGAATGGCACTTGTTACTATATATTGGGAAGGAATAGCGTCTAGGCAAATGTTATATCATAAAACACAATATCACATGTTAATCCCAAAAGTATTTGCTTTACAAATAGTTTGCGTTTCTAATAGTCTATATATTGGACAGATATTGATCCACGTTTTATTATACGCCCACATTTTTATGTGGACGTATATTGTCATTTCCCCTGTCCGCCCGGGCGTCCGCCCGTCTGTCCGTCCACAATTTGTTTGTGGACAATCTACAGATCACAATTTTGACGAAACTTGAAATATAAGTTTATCTCCCAAAGATCTCGGCTGCTTTCGATATTGGCATGTATCGGATCGAAACTTCATAGATTATGGCCCCTGATTGTACGAAAAATCACGTTTTTAGCTTGTGGACCCTATAGAGGTAACTATTTCTATCCGATTTAAAAAACCATTCGAATATATCACTGTTACACCCTAATGATGGTTGAGTTAGAATTTCGTGCAAATCGGACCAAACCTGCCGGACAAAATAGCCGCCTCGAGTACGCAAATAGTGTAAATATATGGTATATCAAAATGTAGACATTCTAGAGGTTCCTTTCGATATTGGCGCATGTCGGATATTCACTTCCTGAATTATGGCCCTGGATTGTACGAAAAATTGCGTTTTTAGCTTGTGTAAAAGTATGAAATACCAAGGTTGTGGGCTCCCTAGAAGTCGCAATTTTTATCCGATATCGATAAAACCTAAAATATATCTTTATGTCCCAAACATCTCAGTCCGTTTCGATATTCACGCATTTCAAACTATAACTTTCTGGATTATGGTCCCTGATTGTACGAAAAATCTTTTTTTAACTTGTTCTCTATCCATCTCTTGCAAAATGTGGGCGTATATATATCTTAGCTTACAACCGCTGCTTTTATTTTACAGAATTTTATCAACATAGACAAAGTCCCAGATGGTCGTGCCAGTAAACGGTTTACCTATGAGAATTCATCACGTGACTCTCGATGGGTTGGAGAGAAGGAACCCTGGGTTTATGGATACTGGTTGGTTTTCATTTCTACTTCATTAAATTGATTCAGTAATTAAACTGGACGATACAGGTCACATAAACAGTACACAGTTTTTATGGGAAACAATCACTAGTTTTATTCTAAAAGCACGACGTTTCGACAAGTATCCTCTTATCGTTATCAAGCAAAATGACATTTAGTTGTTGTTGTTAGTTAGTTGTACTTTACGTCCGCTACATTTAGTAAACTTGAGCTCAATATATATGAGATTCATATTGAAACCATTTCCATAGATTAAATAACAGTGACAAAAGAAGCTAAAGGATAATGGATTTTTAACAAAAACGACAAACACCACAAGTTAAATTAGCTTACTGAATAGATAATTCAGAATGAGTTATTCTACTCACAATTCGATGGAATACAATTACTGAACAACATAAAGACTAGAGAGAGAGAGAGAGAGAGAGAGAGAGAGAGAGAGGTTTAACGTCCACTCGCGCAAACTAGGTCATTTTGGGACTAACATATGGTTTAATTTTATTTCAATAATTCACTTGCGCATAGAGGTTGGACAGGCGACCCTACTCCTCGTCACGTAAAAAAGACTAGAGAAGCCTATTGGAAACGTTGCTCATTCATAAGCAGTACTTGAACTGGAATATACAGGTCACACTTCTATGGAATACGATTACTGCTTATTACTGAGCGACGTTTCGACTGGTTCCTAGGTTCCCAACCTCTGGTCGCAAAGCACTTTTTGTGGAATCGTGGGTGACGACTTTGAGTCTTTTGAAAAAAAAACCTATGTTTTCATGAAAAGCATATAAATCTCTGATCTATACACCTCTTGCCTCATGAACAGAACACAGTTTTTATGGGAAACAATCACATAGTTTATTCTAAAAGCACGACGTTTCGACAAGTATCCTCTTATCGTTATCATGCACCATGACTTTATTGATGGTACCATTAGTAGATTCTTACCACATGTTCTTAAATTGCGAGAAGGACAGTAATACCACTCGAACGACTGCAACCTGCATCACTGACATGAGAATCCAGGGGAACTTTCTCGCCCAACCCCGAGCGTAAATGAAATAAAATGAAATGGTTTAACGTTCTATGTTCTGCTCCGAACTGGGCTAATGAAAACGGCCATACGTCATACAGTGTGCTATGAGGGAAATTTTCCCCGAACAGCGGCACTACGGCCTACTCTTATATCGAATTTCAACTGTCAAGGGATCTTTTACGTGCACGCTAATGTGTACACGGGACCTCGGTTTTTTTGTCGCATCCGAACGACTAGACAGCCCTTGTCAAGCCCTATGTCCTGCATCACTGACAGCGGCACTATGCGGCCTACTCTTATATCGAATTCCAACTGTCGAGGGATCTTTTACGTGCACGCTAATGGGTACACGGGACCTCGTTTTTTTTGTCGCATCCGAACGACTAGACAGCCCTTGCCAAGCCCTCAGTCCTGCATCACTGACAAGGGGGAACCAAGTCGGAAAATCTGGATGAACATTCTCGGCCAATGCAGAGATCGAACACCGGACCTCCAGGATAGCGAGCCAGCGTCTTACCCACCGCGATCCCCAACACCGAGCATAGAAACCGGACCAAGACCTTTATATAAGTATTTTATTCTATCAGGTATTATAGCTGGGCTGATGATTCGGTACCTGTTGCTTCAATTGATTCATCCATTCATCAGATAACCCTAACTACCAAAAATCGCTATGGTCTCAAAAAAGGTAAGAATAAAGATTATTTGTATTGAAATATCTTGAACTTTATATATTTCTATCTTTCTATCAGGTATTATAGCTGGGCTGATGATTCTGTACCTGTTGCTACAATAAATTCATCAATTCATCAGATAACATTAGCTACCAAACCACGTTTTGGTAGCAAGAAAGGTAAAACAAAGATTTATATCAACATTCTGTGGCGCAGGACGGAGGGCCGACAAGGACAGCTGTCTACTCGTTTGGATGGTACGAACAACCGAGGTCCCGTGTACACATTGGCATGCACGTAAAAAATCCCTTGGCAGTTGGAATTCGATATGATAATAGGCCTTAGCGCCGCTGTTCGGGCAAAATTGCCCTCAAAGCAAACTGTATGGCGTATGCCCGTCTTTATTAGCTCAATCGGAGCAGAGCAGTAGGACGTTAAACCCCATTTCATTTCATTTCATTTCCATTCAGAATGTTGATAATAGAATCTTCTATAGCTGGATGTATTTATATTACAGGAACACTTCGCTATGACGGCAAGGTGAATGGATATTCAAATCAAGGCGGTTATTTCAGAGTCATTAACATGCTTTCAGAGTTAGACCAACCGGTAAGGTTTTTCAAATGATTGAATTCTGTGAAACGAAAACCTGGAATCAAACATCACGCCACTACATCCATGTAAATTAGCATTGGACAGGCGTTTTGGATAAATCTTTTTGATTCATATAGTGACTTGACTTATCTCCCTTGCTTGAAGAGAGTCGCGATTTTCTAGCCCCTGGGATGGAACAGAAAACTGAGGCCCCGTGTGCACATTTGATTGCACGTAAAAGGCTCCTTGACAATTTGAATTCAATACAGTGTAGGCCGCAGTGTCGCTCTCCGGAAAAAATATCTCCCATAACACACTGTTGTTTCTAGAAAGTAGGACGTTAAATTTCATTTCATTTTCATTTCTACGCTGAAATGTTTTTTTTAAAGTTTAAATCCTCTTTTATTATGTTATCATTTAAGGTTACAATTTCATATTTTCTAAGAAAGTCAAAACATGATTATTTCTATGTCTTTTGCTCAATAGGTTGTCAACTCATAGATTATCTTTCTCACACTTAAAAATCTTCACAGCGGAAATAATAACACAATTACCTCCTAATTGCCTCTCTTGTTTTCCTATTCTCCACCATGGAAGCTATCTTCAAACGTTTAAATTTGAAGTTGAAAATGATATTTTTGCCAATTTCACAACTGCCAATATTAATAGTGAATTATAGGATTAATAAGACTGTTTATAGATACCATCAATTTTAGAGCTTTGTTTTAATACATTTTAAAAATATAACTTAAAAATATGAAATTGTAACTTTAAATACTGTTTAGAACATGGCTTCGGTAACTAAGACCACCACCCCTACCCCCACCCCAATATCATTTTTCATTTCCATTGTTCATGGCAGAATTTTGATAAAAATTTACCATATTTTGGGCATCCTGCTATACTTTTCTGTATCCTGCACCACTGACGAGGGGAAACCATGTCGGAGCTTTCTCGGCCAATGCAGGGATCGAACACGCGACCTCAAGGAGAGCGGGCTAGCGTCTTACCCACTAAACCACCGTTTTCTTTTATACAGGGTGAATATTATGTGGATAGATCAACTGGTATTCTGTACTTATGGCCAAATACACCAACTGGAACATTAAAACAAACAGATCTAGTTTACGTGTCTTTACTACACAACTGTATTCAGTGAGTTCATTCTTTAACGTCCTTATTAAAGATGTATTATGCAAGAGCTAAATCTGCTTATTGCAGATCGAGACTTTGTTTACTATCGTAACAACAGTACCAATGACAACCGAGACTGAGCTATTATGCAAAATTCGCTAACGTCGCCCAGAATGAAGTAATTTGACTGAAATTGTCAAGATACCCCCTTCTATTATCTAGTTTTGAACTATTATAACGGAAACTGTCAGCTTTTAATCTAAATCTTACATAATGCATCTTTAAAGGGACAATAACACTCTTGCTGGCTTGACAGCTCCAGAAAATAATCAATAGCCTTATTCTAAGTACTAGATGTGTTAGTGTACTACCTGTTGTGTAAATTATCCATTAAATCCTATTTTACTTGTCCAAAGGGTTCGAAAATATTTTTAAATCCAAGTCACATTTGAAAAGCTTTACGTCAGGCTTTTCAAATCATTTAGTTGAATTTTTCCAATTTTTTAAATTAGGTGTGTTAAGATGAAATTTGTATCATCAATTAATTGGAATATTGTAAAATAGTAAAATTTGTTGACAGAATAAAGATTGGGACATATTATTCAGTTACAACAAGAGTGGTATTGAGCCTTTAAATATAAATATTGAAAACCAAAAAATCCATTTAGCTACACATTTCTTAAATCATAAAGTAAGAAATGAAACAAGACACTATAAACACAAATCTGCAAATGAGAGCTTTGGTATCTAATAATTCGATTCTGCACAGAGTATCCTGCTCGATGCAGTATATGGAAAGCATTTGAGGAGTTCACATCGCCAGTAAAATAATTATGCTCTACCTATGTATTTCTAGATTAGCTCCAGGTGTTAACAACATTAATTTTGAAGATTTCACCCTGGAAGCATGTCGTCGCTATGGTATTGCAGGAATCAGCTCAACTCATGTGAAGATTGCCAATCTTGAAATCAGAAACACGGGTAATTATGTAGATTGACTAACTGAATTCAGATGATACGATATTTATCTTCTGGTTACAATTTCTTCCTTTAGGTGATACAAAAGATGTGTACCCGGTACTATTTCTATGTGGTACTGGTTATGAAGGTATATTACTTGGTGACACTGATCCAGCTTGATGACACTAATGATGTAGATCTAGATGATGCTGATGATGCAGACCTTTTACTGTTTCTAGATAATACTGATGATGTAGATCTGTTACTGTTTCTAGATGATAATAATGATGTAGATCTTTTACTGTTTTAAGACGATACTGATAATGCAGGCCTTTGATTGTTTCTAGATGATACTGATGATGTAGATCTTTTACTGTTTGTAGATGATACTGATCATGTAGATATTTTATCCGTTCTTGATGATACTGATGATGCAGATCTATTTACTGTTTCTAGATGATAGTAATGATGTAGATCTTTTACTGTTTTAAGACGATACTGATAATGCAGGCCTTTTATTGTTTCTAGATGATACCGATGATGTAGATCTTTTATTGTTTCTAGATGATACTGATGATGCAAATTTATTACTGTTTGTAGATGATACTGATCATGTCGATATTTTACCAGTTCTTGATGATACTGATGATGTAGATCTATTTACTTTTTCTAGATGATGCTGATGATGTAGACCTTTTATTGTTTCTAGATGATACTGATGATGCAGATTTATTACTGTTTCTAGGTGATACTGATGATGTAGATATATTACCCATTCTTGATGATGCTGATGATGTAGATATATTTACTGTTTCTAGATGATGCTGATGATGTAGACCTTTTATTGTTTCTAGATGATATTCATGATGCAGATATATTACTGTTTCTAGATAACCCTGATGATGTGGATTTATTATCCATTCTTAATGATACTGATGATGTAGATATATTTACTGTTTCTAGATGATACTAAAGATGCAGAATTAGTTAATACTGATGATGAAGACTTAATGGTGATGTTTCTATTGTAGGATCGTATGGTGTTAATTGCGATAAAGATTGTAGATCGGTAACTGTATCTAGATGTGATATACATGATACTGATGGCGGTGTCAGCCTCACAGGTAACTGATTAATATGTCTGACTGTTAATTAATATTTCTCGCAGCAGCAAAAAGGTAGTCTTCCTCGACGCTCTTCATGCAAATTATCATCATATCATGATTGATGTTTAGACTAGAATCCAGATTACGATCACAGCCACTTGCTTAACCTCATGGATTCTCTGTCCGTCCATGGGTTTCCTCCCGCTATAGATACACTGTATAGTAATAAGAACAGGAGGGCCTATATGACCTAATTTGTGCTGAGTGTACATTGAACCCGATATCTCTCTCGGTGTGACGCATTTGGTTTTGAATTTCCACCAGTACATACATGAGATCAAATAGCTATGAGTAACCACTGTAGGAAATTTCTCCATGAACAGGTGGCAACAGAGTTAAATTAGAGTCATCAGGAAACGTTGTAGAAGATAACCACATTTGGAAATTTGGTCGAGCTACTCAAGTTGGTGCAAATGGTATTAGTCCACAAGGAGTAAATATTTTAATGAGATATAACTATCTTCACGATGGCCCCTACACCTGCATCCGATGGGCAGTAAGTATTTACAGAAGTTAGTGAGAATTCGAACTTATTGAAGATATACTCCAAGCCTAATCCTAGTCCACCAGAAGTAGTAGTGTAACATCCCTAGTGTAGTTGCCAACCGTATCAGACGATTTAAATTAGTTACTCTACAAATAGAATATACGATTTCTTTTCCGCGGTGGACTATAACCATTTGATCATGGAATATAACCATTTTATCATGGACTATAACTATTTTATCATGGACTATAACCATTTTATCATGGACTATAACTATTTTATCGTGAACATGAGCATGTTATAATGGACTATAAACCACTTATCATGGAAAATAACACTTTATTACAGTGTAACGTTCACATCATGGAATATAAGCATTTTATCATGGAATATAACCATTTCATCATGAAATATAAACACTTTATTAGAGAGTATAAACATTTTATCATATGCTATATTTCGTTTTTTTTTATTATGGAATATAACGATTTACAGGGTAAAGAGCACGTTATAGTATATAACCGGTTTTTTCATGGAATATAACCGTTTTTTTTCATGGAATATAACCGGTTTTTTTCATGGAATATAACCATTGTATCATGGAATATAAACATTTATCATTGAATATAAACATTTAATTACAGGGCAACGATCACATTATGGAATATAACCATTTTAGTAAATGCTGTCATGATTCCAGTGATTGTGGTGCCATACATGCTGGTAGAGACTGGACGATGGTAAGTCGCAGGGGAATTACGAATACTACATGTTGTCGGGTCTTTAGGAGTGGGAGGAAACCGGAGGCTAGACAGACGACCCTACTCTTTGTCACGCACAACCGGGGATTCGAAACCACGCCAGCTGACCCAATTACATGCCTTATGATACAGCACGCACGTACTAACCATTCGGTCTCCCAACCTCCCCTTTTCAAATTGAATGGTTAGCATTCCATTGCTTATTCGAATTTTATGTCTGTTTTTTTTTATAGAGAGGTAATGTAATACGATATAACCATGTTCACGCTTATTGGAAATCCTTTCGGATAAGCTGCTGCCCAGACATAGCTGCTGCGTGGTTATCTGTTCTAATTGAATGGTTAGCATTCCATTGCTTATTCGAATTTTATGTCTGTTTTTTTTAGAGAGGTAATGTAATACGATACAACCATGTTCATGATACTATAAGACATTGGCCTGGTGCTCCAGTACGTGGTGTTATGTTAGATGACCAGTATTCTAGTGTCAACATCGAGTATAACGTCTTCTACCATGTATGTATTTTAATAGACAGAGAGAGAGAAATGGGGTTTAACGTCCACTCGACACAAACTAGGTCATTTCGGGACTAACATATGGTTTAATTTTATTTACACAATTCGCGTGCGCGTAGGGGTATTTAGCAGTGGGAGGAAACCGGAGGACCCAGAGAAAACCCACGAGGTTGGAGTATTTTAATAGGCAGTGGCTATTGTTACGACGAGTCGTAAAAATAGTCCTCAGGCTATTGTTACGACAATGCTTTCACAGTCCTCCATCGGCGAAGTTAAAAAAAACTGAATAGTCGTAAAAATAGTCCTAACCCTAACCCTAACCTTCCCATCTCTTAATTGCTGCCTTCAGTTCTGAGAACGTTGAAAATTCTGCTCCTTTTTCAAAGCTGGTGTTGGGGAGATTGGCAGCCATTTTGGAATTCGTTCTAAACTTGGCTCAGACTCGTTGTAACAATAGCCACTTTGATTTTAATAATAGGGACCTTTCGTATCGTTATGAAAACGAACACAAAACCATTCGTCGTATCCACTAACACGCGGTTTCGCAATCCGACGTACGATAATAGCTAGATGGCGTTAATTTCTACTTTATGAACTTCTCGGTCAAGGCAAAGTTTTCAATCGATTTTTTTTAGCAGTTGTACAACAAATCAAGCAGAATATTGTATTTGAACACATTCTACAAAACTTTATACAATCAACAATATAAACAAGGCCTCGAAAAATGGTGAGACAAGAAACATTTTCGTTTGCGTATCAGCTCCATACGCGTGACGTTTTGCACTGGCCGAACACTCATTAGGGATTGACGTCACATGAATCGATGGCGTTTTCGTTTTCGTATTCGTTTTTGTACCGACGTTTTGCCTAATAACCAGTCATGACGTTTTTTAGGGCGGTAAAACGGAGTTTAGCGCCTTTCTTTTCTGGTATTGTAAAACATGATTTCAGATGCCTTCTGTCCCTGTCGGATTAATAAAGACGGACAGACGCCATGTAGTATTCTATGAAGTTAATTACACATCTATTCACAGTACAAGCCTATAAGAAATGAAATGAAATGGGGTTTAACGTCCTGCTGTTCTGCTCCAAACTATATAGGACAAGCCTATATAATGAACTCCCTGGAATCATCGAATGTTTGTAATTTTTAATGGATAAAAACCAATAACCATTTTAATTTAAAATGGATAATCGTTTATTATCGTAGCAAGGGTACTTGACAATCGAGACTATATATATATATATATATATATATATATATATACAACTTCAAACATCGATAACTTGACTGAAATGTTCAATATATTAATCTTCCATTATCTATTGTTTAACTTTATATTACGAACGACCAGCTCTTTATTTAAATCTTACATAATAATATTTAAAGCACCCGTCCTTTTCTTTAACAACAGAATGAAATACACACCAATATAGGAGGTGGTCGTGATAATATTGTCAGATATAACGTATTTTATGATGCTAGAAGTTCATCGATGCAAGTCGATGGTCGTGGGATATCAAAGAACAGCCACCCAGGTTCGATAGCGACAGATTTAATGGTAAGTAAATAAAGATGGTTTTAACATAGTTACAAGGATGGCTTTAACATAGTTACAAGGATGGCTTTAGCATAGTTACAAGGATGGCTTTAACATAGTTAAAAGGATGGCTTTAACATAGTTACAAGGATGGCTTTAACATAGTTACAAAGATTGCTTTAACATATTTACAAGGATGGCTTTAACATAGTTACAAGGATGACGGAGCATTATCTAGAATGACTCTCGACAGCGCCTGGACAATGCAACCACTACAAAGCAACAGGATATCCCTTAACCCAGATCTAAATAAATGAACATGGTATCCTTTAACCCAGGTGTAAATTAAGGAACATGATATCCCCTAACCAAGGCCTAAATAAAGGAACAGGATATCCCCTAACCCAGATCTAAATAAAGGAACATGATATCCCTTAAACCGGATCTAAATAAAGTAACAGGATATCCCTTAACCCAGATTTAAATAAAGGAACATGGTATCCTTTAACCAAGGTCTAAATAAAGGAATAGGATATCCCTTAACCAAGGTCTAAATAAAGGAACAGGATATCCCTTAAACCGGATCTAAATAAAGTAACAGGATATCCCTTAACCCAGATTTAAATAAAGGAACATGATATCCTTTAACCAAGGTCTAAATAAAGGAATAGGATATCCCTTAACCCGGATCTAAAACAACTGTTTAGTGTGTGGGTTATATGAATATTAATAGTAATCATATCACTTGTATTTTCAGAAAATGCCTATTAACAATACGCTGTGGACATCAAGATATCCCAAGCTTGCAGCCATGGCTCATAGTTCACACAGAGGATACCCAGAAGGTGCATAGACATTTTGAAATTTTCTACAAACAATTATTTTGGGGAATTTTCAAATTTCAATTTTATATTTGGGTCGCTGACGTCAATCGGATTCCAGTTTTATTGAGTTAGATTTTAAGCGATATCTTAGCGTTTAGTCAAAATTGCGAACAGCGCCTATTGTATTTCTGAAACTTCAGGGTCACAGATAAGGATGTTTGAGTTAATGCATTAAAGTCAAAAATAATACACGAACCATATGTTATATGTATACTCTCGGCCAACACCAGGATTGTAGCACGGGGTTGGGTGGTCGAATGGTTAGCGCGTGCGCGTTGTATCATAAGGTATGTCATTGATTCAACTGGCGTGGTTTCGATTCCCCGGTTGCACGTGACAAGGAGTAGGGTCGCCTGTCCAACCTTGTCGGTTTTCATCTGGTACTCCGGTTTCCTCCCACTGCTAAAGACTCCTACGCGGAAACGAATTAATGGAATAAAATTGAACCATTCATAGCAGATCTTAGAGCGAATCGTGACATTGAGAACCTAGCATAAAACAATAAGCCTGTGGTCTTATTGGAAAAAATCAATAATTGTACTTTTTCTCTTTTTTTTCTTTGTTTCTAAAAAAAGTGAGATAATGCCCATCGCTTGAAACATTAAATGCTTATCTTGCCATTTTCAGGAAATCAAATTTATCACAATGTTTATTACAACGAACACGGGAAGAAATTTATAGATTATTCAGGTGGAATGGAAAACGACGCATATTATCATACATACGAAAATAAACACGTAAGTATTTCACAGAATTTAACATTATTTTATGTCCTTTAATTATTTCGTCCAATTCCAAAAATCTTATCTGACAAAACATCACACGGGTAATTCTCGAAAAATTTAAATTTAATTTAATGGGATATCACTTGTTTCACCAAGAAAAGAAAAGTAATCAATTATTAATATCAAATTGTTCCCATTTGGGCTTACAAATGCACCTATCTCATTTCAAAAACACTCCTACAGTGTATTTATAATCACCACGAGAATATATACTCTTCAAAAATGTAGGGGATATTCAGAAACAATACAAAACTGCGGTAAACTATGTATGTTAACAACACATGAACATAAACAATTCGTATCTGACGGCTCCATTTCACTCGCAAAGAGATATACTGTCAAAAGTGAAAATGGACGATTTTGATTTTTGTCTTAATAATGAGTAATTGCTTCACCAATCCTCAGACATTTAGCAATTCATTGTGGCATGCTCCTAATCAACCGTCCAATCACGATTTGGGGCAATCTGACCACGGTAGTACACACCAGTGACCCTTCCTTGAACACTATGCAAGTCCGTGATTCCTCCCCACACCATAACATACCCACGTCCGAATCTGTCACGCTGTCTGACGTTAACGTTAGCACGACGCTCATTTACACGCCTCCAAACGCAAGCACGCCTATTGGTGAAATCCAGAGTAAATCTGGACTGATCTGATCCACACACGCCCATCGACGATTACCCCCATTTCTACGCTGCCTACACCATTGATGCCTGTTTGCCATGTGCTGGCGAGTTAATGGAGGCACAACACGCAGTCGTCGCGCATGCAAATGGGTTGCATATAGCCGATTTCTAATCATTTGGGGTGTAACTCGAATTCCTGTATCTTGGTACAAGTTTATAGAAAGCTGATTGGCCATTTGCCTCAATTTCGCAGGACCTGTATACGAATGTATCGATTCTGGGCTTGTGTAGTGGCTATAGGACGATCTGAACGAGGTCTATCATCAACATTGTGGGTTTGTTGGTACCGGTTCCACAGTCTTGGCTACTACTCGCTGTGTAGAACCCATTTGAAGCATGCCAATAGAACGTAGACGTTCATCATGTTTAAGACGTCTCATTGCAAATTAAACGTAACACACTACAGCAAAGATACGTTAAACAGTAAATCTTATGTAAGAACCGATGGGAAAGCAAACATGGGTAGGATAAACCAGAACGCGGCAGTTTTCATCAACCCTTCCTTGAAGTGTCAAATTTGACAATGAACCCCTCCCACGTGTATGGCGCTATTGCGTGTCGCGTATGCAGCTCAGTGGTTCTGTTGGGGCGATAGGTTCTTCAGCAGTGAACATACTCTCAAAGCATGTCAAGTGTCCATGACTATTTATCACAACCTGCATAGGTATTTGCATTTCAATATCCCTTAATTCTTTTGAAGAGTATATATTATATATGCATATTTTCTAGTCATTTTCATCAAGCGATTTCTTGTCGCCGGCTAATAATGATTTCCGACTAGAATGTACAGCTAAAGAATGGGCGGATGGAGTTAATTTTCCACAACCAATAACTTTAGATAAAGTCGGTCCAAGACATCCATATGGTCCAACATATCTAAATAAAGGTAGGCCTTTAAGCATATATCAAAGCATTAATAGTTACCGCTGGTTGATAGGTGTATATATACGTTTCTGAACCGGGGATTTGGGTGGCCGAATGTTTTAACGCATGCGCGTTAGATCATACGGTCTGTCGTGGTTTCCATTCACAACTTGTACATGACGAGGAGTAAGGTCACTTGCCCAACCGCTTGGGTTTTCTTCGGGTCTTCCGCCCCCTCCCACCCGCCTCTGCTAAAGGCCCCTACGCGCAATCGAATTAATGAAATGAAATTAAACCATATGTTAGTCCCGAAATGACCTAGTTTGTATGATAGAAGGACGTTAAACCCCATGCAATCAAATATGGCTGAACGTTCTACTTCTCTTCTTCAACCGGAGTAATGAAGACAGAGAGATACCATGCATTGTGTTCTGAGTTGTACCCGGACAGTGGCATTTTGGTATATTTTGCATCGCATTTCAATTGTGAAGGGTTTGTATAGGTGAACTCCAGGCGGGAAAATGAAGAGTAGTAAGAAGGTGTTTGGTAGTAAAATTTAATTGATTCTATATACTTTGTAGCAAAAGATACGTTCTTTTAAAATAGACTTTCATGAAGACGGATAGACACCATACAGTGTGCATTGAGGGAAATCGTGTGCAGACAGTGGCTTTTGCTTATCGATATTAATCTGCGAAGGGTTTGTTAACGTGCATGCCATGGCGTACACGGAACCTACTGTCTCGTTCCATTCGAAAATACCCAAATGTGAAGTAGTATGAGGTGTTCTGTGGTAAAATTGAATTGGTTCTATAAAACCTTTTGGAAAAATAGGTGTTCTTTTAAATGTGCGAAATAGCTTTATTTAATGCAGGGACGTAATTAGCTCAGAGCAGTGCCGGACTGGTGGGCTGAAGGCCCACCACACATGTCATTGACCAAGGCCCACACAAGTACGCGCCGAAGGGGGGTCGGCGGTTCTCCCCCCAGGAAAAATTTTGAAAATTGACAACCACAAACCCATTTTCCAAGCATTTCAGACCAAAGCAGAGGAAGGCAAATTTTTGATTTCCTGATACAATTAGATAACAGAATGACCTAAGAGCACTATCAGACGAATTTTAGATATCTTTCTCCTGTCCTGTGTCCTGTCCTCTCCTTCCTTCTTTCTTTTCTTTCCTACCCCTCTTCTTTCTTTCTCTTTTCTTTTTTCTTTCTCTTTTTTCTTTATAGGCTTAGGCCCACTTTTTTATATGAATTTATGCCCACCTGATGGACAGGGACAGGTGGACAGAGCAACGAGGGGGCGGGAAATGTTCTCAGGGGGTCCTGTAAAATTGACGGACAATGTATATCTATTGTTTTTATATGGCCGACAATTTTTTCACAGGTTGGGGGGGGGGGTAGGAAACTTTTTGCGGTCCTGATTTAATGTCCACTTCCATTGAAGTGATATGCAGACAAGTTCTTTTAAGATATTATGTGTATTTTATACCTATCCGTCAAACTATACACAATCTTAATGTCGTTCTAGGAGTAAAACCAACCATAGCTACAACAAGTTACACACCAGGCCCATGTAATACTGGAACTGTTGCACCAGAAACTAATATACCCAGAGGTTCTTATTTACCTGATGGTTCAAGTCCTAACACTCTTGTTACTAATATCACAAACGTTGGTAAGTTCAACATATTCATCTTCACGCTTATCTTCCTGATTCTCATAGCAGCATCCCCACCAACACGTATTCCTGTTACTAACATGACAAACGTTGATAAGTTCAATATTATCACCATGATCCTTCATAGCAGCACCTTGCACCACCCCAAGCAAGTTCTAATACTCTTGTTACTAATATTACAAACGTTTTTTTAGTTCAAGATTATGACCATGATCACCATTAGCAGCATCCCAACCACCAAGAGCAGCAACCGCATCGCCATTATCAATATTATCATATTCAAGCTTATCATCATGATCATCATTAGCAAAATCCTCACTACCAAGTACAACAGTCACATCACTATTGTCAACATTATCATATTCATGATCATCATTAGCAGTATCCCCACCACCAGGAACAGCAGCCGCGTCGCTATTATCAATATTATCATATTCACGCTTATCGTCAGGATCATCATTAGCAGCATCCCCACCACCAAGAGCAGCAGCCGCGTCGCTATTATCATTATTATCATATTCACTCTTATCATCATGATCATCATTAGCAACATCCCAACCACCAAGTGAAGCAGCTGCATCCCAGTTATCGATATTATATATAAATATAGGTTTCTATTAACTTCAACATTTCCATCTTCACTGTTATTATCGTGCAGCAGCACCACCACCACCAAGAACAACAGCTCCATCGCTATTATGAACATTTGATCTTCATATCGATTTATACTCGTGAGAAGTTTTAATTTCAAATCTAAATTCAATAAATTCATCAATAAATATTAATAATTTATCGATGGTATGAGGCAATCTGTTTCACAGAGTATTACGAAACTCTTCTAATATCTCTGTAAAAGATGACTGCCTTAATACATGATGTCATATCACGCGGCGTCAATCATTGGCTCAATGGCGCGTGCATTGTTTACATAAGACATTACAATTGATTCAAGGAGAATGGCGCCTTTTACTCATTTTAATACCCATTTACACTAAAATAGGAAATAATTTTTACCTACAAATACTTCAAACGTCTTTCTTTATTTTTCTAATACATAAAAAATGTTTTAGAATTTAATTTGTCGGAGGAAGAAGTTAATATTTGTTGCTCATGAAGTCGCATCGATGTCATCTTTATCAGTGATTGTCGCGGCCTAGGGAATATTCACTGCGGATCAGTGTGGGTATGAGCATATCTGGTGGACTCCTGGTCATTGGTGTACTTCCGCAAAGGTTTACCGGACATGATACTATATTTAAAGACAAATAATTCTTCTCTGCACTACAATTTGGTACGGTGTACTTTAGACAATAAGGTCTGTCACTGAATCACGTGGTGTGATTTCTATCCAAGCATGTTCGTGACAAGGAGTATGATCGCCTGTCAAACATCGTGGATTTGTCCGTGGTCTTTCGGTTGCCATCCACTGTTAAAGATGCATACGCGCACGTGAATTGTTGAAATATAAATTGTACCATATGTTAGTCCCGAAATGACCCAGTTTGTGTTGTGTGGACGTTAAAGCCCATTTCTCCTTCCCTTTGTTAACAGGTTGCTGGTTGTTGGTGAACTCCTGTCCTGCAGATTCAAAAATACACGGCACCTTTAGAGATACCTACGGTGAACAGCACGAGCAAGCAGCTACTGATGAAGCTAGATGTTTAGCAAGAGCTGCTGGAATGTGGAGACATTGTGGATCAGCTAAAGATAAACCTGTTACAGCTGTTTATGGCCCAACGGGTAAAACTTAATTCTTCTAAAAACTCCTATTTTGTTCCAGTCGCGTACAGAGGGTTGGTGATGCTGGGGCCAACTCCTTGACTGCATGCCCCCAAGACTCAAGTATTGGGACTGGTATTCAAGTATAGAGTCTGGCACTCATGTTGGGGTCTGGTACTCAAGTATAGGACTTGGTACGCAAGCATAGAGCCTGGCACTCAAGTTTGGACCTGGTACTCAAGTATAGGGCCTGGTACTCACGCATAAAGCCTGGCACTAAAGTTGGGGCCTGGTACTTAAGTATAGGGTCTGGTACTCAAGTAGAGTCCGACACTTAAGTATATGACATCTTACTCAAATATAAGGCCCGGTACTCAAGAAAAGAGTCCAATAATATGAAGACATTTTAAATATGACAAACTAGCTGATAGCCCGGCGCTGCAAGAGTTGAAAGTAGTATAACTCCGAAATCGGAAGCGGTAGTGTAACGCCACCTGGCCCATGTTACTCCCCGGACCGAGCTACCCCTATACACCAAATGTCAGCCTCGGGACAGCCCTAGTGTAACCGTCAACCCTGAACAGACAGACAGACAGACAGACAAACAGACCAACAAACAGACCAACGGCAGACATAAATTATAAAGTAGATTGTTCAAACTCAATGCGGATCTGATTTGGTTTATAGTGTGACTGGTTTGACAAATTGTTCAGATCACGTGATCTTACTGACTAATCAGAATATCTCTTTTTTGAATAAAAGGTTAATTCAGCTCAAGAAATAATATTTACTATGTGTTTCCCTCGAAAGAATTGTGTTAACGTGACATTAAGATCTATCAGTTCCTAGGCTTTCTGCAATAAAATGCTACCCCCCCCCCCCACACACACACACACTTATTTCCTATAGTTAAAAAATGATCCTACCCCAGGAAGTCAATGACCATATTTCTGTACTTACCTTGACTACGATGTATTATTTTTACAGGAGCTATGACGTTTGGTGGAGATGGTTGTTTTTTCGCTGATTATGGCTGCAAAAATGATAATCGACCTCGCTTTGAACGCGACTATTATGCTGAGCAGCACGAGAATGGGTCGACGAGTGAAGCAGGATGCCTCCGTAGAGCTGCACCCCAGTGGAAATACTGTGGAAGCCAACGTGATAAACCTTACACCAGTATCTACAGGCCAACAGGTAAAACAAACTGTGAAGGATGCCCTCCGACCAATAACAAGCCGTGAGATCCACCTCCCTCCCCAATAAGCTGTGAAGACCCTTTTCTTCCGAGGTTGTACGTGACAAGGAGTAGGGTCGCCTGACCAACCTCGTGGGTTTTCTCTGGGTCCTCCGGTTTCCCCCCACTGCTAAAGAACCCTACGCGCAAGCGAATTATGGATATCAAACTGGACCATATTTAGTCCCAAAATGACCTAGTTTGTGTCGAGTGGACGTTAAAACATCTCTCTCTCTCCACTAACAAGTCGTGAAGAGGCCACCTCCTTCACTTACAAGTTGTGAAGGTTCCTTTCTCCCACTAAAAAGCCGTGGAAACGTCCGTTAAACCACACGAACCAATAAACAAACCTATCCTCAGCTTTACATTTTTCTATGGACAATAATGTTTATTATGACATGTTTTATTAGAACTGGTCTAATGGAGACGGGTATACGACATACAGTGTGTTATGAGGGACATTTTGCCCGGACAACGGCGCTACGACCTACTCTTGTATCGACTTCCAGCTGCCAAGGGATCTTTTAGGTGCACGCTAATGTGTAGACGGGACCTCGGTTTTTCGTTAAACTCGAACGACTAGACAGCTGTCCTTGTCAGGCCCACCGTCCTGCATCACTGACAAGGGGGAACCACGCCGGAAAATCTGGATGAACTTTCTCTGCCAATGCAGGGATCGAACACCCGACCACCAAGCTAACGTCCTACCCAAATAGCCACCGTGGCCCCAGAGGATTGGAGGAAAAACCTAGATCAACAAGTGAACATATTTACGTGTATCCATGTAAAATATATTGATCTCAAAATGACCAGCGTTTTAGTATTGCCGGGGCGTTAAACCCTATACCTCTTATCTTTAATTACAGGAGCTATAAGCACTGGTGGTGCTGGATGCTGGATAAAGGTTACAAAATGCCCGGCTGATAAAACTGTTAAATATTATTTCTATGATAGTTGGGGTTCTAGTAACTTAGATACAGGTGCGTATATACTTCATCTTTTACTGGGGGTTGGCTGGCCGAATGATTAGCACGTCTGTCATTGAGTTAACTGGCGTGGTTTCGATTCCCCGGTTGTACGTGACAAGGATTCGCCTGTCCAACCCCGTGGGTTTTCTCCGGACCCTCTGTCCCCCCACTGCTAAAAACCCCTACCTTCAAGCGAATTATTGAAATAAAATTGAACCATATGTTAGTCGCGAAATGACCTAGTTTGTGTCGAGTGGACGTTAAAACCTATTTCTCTTTCTCTCCATGTTTTACTAAGCGTGGTGGCCGAATGGATTAACGAGTGTGCTATAGATCATAAAGTCTGTCATTGAGTCAAGTGGCGTGGTTTCGAATCCCAGCTTATACCTGACAAGGAGTAGTGTCGCCTATCCAACCTCGGGGTGGTCCCGTTTCTCCCAACAGCCAAAGACCCATACTCAAAATGGCCTAGTTGGTGTCGAGTGGACGTTAAACACCCTATTTCTCGCCACTTTGAAGACTCCATGAAGTATCAAACATCTATATTTAGTGTCAAGCATCTATATTTAGTATCAAACATCTATATTTAGCATCAAATATCTATATTTAGTATCAAACATCTACATCCACACATAACAGAACGCGCTTTTCTATCATAGACTTTTATCACTGGTTTCGTTTTTAGATAATGACGTAGATGAATGCCACAACAGGGCCGGATATTTTTGGAGAAGATGTGGATCCCATCCTCAATACCCAGTGAGAGCTTTCTACAGACCAACAGCCTCACACGTAACAGTTCCTAAACCGTCCCAAATATAAGATCTATGACCCTTTTAGTTTCTGGTGATATTGAAAGCAACCCTGACCCTCCCCACAACTTGTCTATCGTCCATCTGAATATAAGGAGTTTCCGCCACAAAGTTGATATTTTAGCATTTTTCCTAACTGAATCATGGCTTGATAAATCAGTAGACACCAATACAATACCACTAAGTTCTTTCCACGCACCGATAAGAAATTACAGGACATACGGACAGGGCGGGGGTATTGTGACTTACATACGGGACACATTCTCTGTGAAAAGAAGACCTGACCTGGACGTCCACGATACAGAATGCATATGGTTACAATTAAATACTTCAAATAAAACTATTTTAATAGGTACCTTTTACAGACCTCCAAGTTCTACTGCTGAACAAAACAACAAAATTTTTTATTCGATTGCTAAGTCAGCATGTGATAATGTCGATAACTGTTTTATTTTTGGCGATTTTAATATCGATTTCATGACTTCAACACAATCATTTCTACACAATGCAATGATACTTTTCGATTTTTATCAAATTATATAAAAGAATCGGGCTGTCTAGATAATTTTGTAGTGATCATTGTCCTGTGTACTGTCGACTTTTATTCCAGAATCCAAAATTAAAATGCTACAGACGAGTTATTTGGCACTATAGCAATATTAAAACAGGGGGCATGCGACGGGACGTTACTGACACGGACTGGGAAAGCTTAATTAACACCGAATCAATTAATACAGCTTGTGTTAACTTCACAAGTGAGCTGACAAGGCTAGCGAAAAAACACATTCCTAATAAAACAGTAACTATCAGACCCAAAAACCAAACATGGATGAATAATGCGATTTGTAAGTTGAGTAGAAAGAAAAATAAAACACATAAAAAAGCGGTTCAAAGAAATTTAAAATGGCATAAATTCAGAACTATTAGAAATGAATATATAAACCTAATCAGAAATTGCAAAAAGGAATAGTTTGACAAAATCGATAACAAAATCAATAATATAATTACAATAACTTTGAAAGTAAAAATTGGCGGGGCCTTCTCAACTCATTTATGAAAAAAAATCGTGCTGGCACTAGCAATGAATTGTCGCCTCTATCAGTAAACGACACTACACATCACACACCATCCGACAAATGTAACTGCCTTAACGATTTCTTTAGTAGCACTAGAAAGAATACCAAACTCATTAACTAATATTATCCTCAGCCAGAAGGAAGTTTAAGACATCATTACTACTATTGATCCCTCGAAAGTCAATGGACCGATAACATCAGCGGAAAACTAATACAACTAATATCCAACGAAATCTCTGAACCTTTATGTAAATTATTAAACCACCCCCTTTCATCGAAAACAGTACCGAATATCTGGAAATTTGCCAATGTAACTGCAATATTAAAAAAAGGTGACCCATCAGATTGTGGAAATTATAGACCCATATCACTAGTATCCTAGTTAAAATATTCGAAAAATGCATTTATAAAAAAATGTTTTCAACTTCTAAGGGAGAATTCTGTTCTAACTAACCTTCAGAGCGGCTTTTTGCATGGGGATTCTAGTGTTTACCAACTTACCGATATTCCACACTACTTTTGTCAAGCCATCGACCAGGGATTCTACACGAGTGCAGTGTTCTGTGACATAAGTAAAGCTTTTGACAGGGTCTGGCATGCTGGACTCCAGCTTGAAGCTGTGGGGATACGGGGGAGACATCCTTCAATGGTTTCACAACTATTTAGAGGGAAGAAAACAATCGGTTGTTATTGGGGGTGTCTCCTCCTCCCCAAAAACCATTCCCTCGGGCGTGCCACAGGGCTCTGTTCTCGGTCCCCTTCTTTTTCTCATTTATATAAATGACGTTGTGAATGATATTTCATCAAATGTTCGACTCTTTGCTGACGACACTTCCCTTTATCCGAAATATGATGACACGATCCAATGCGCAAATATACTAAACAGTGACCTGGATAAAACTAGCACATGGGCTAAAACATGGCTGGTATCCTTCAACCCACTAAAGACCAAAACACTAGCACTGACAACCAAACAAAATTCCATTTTACCTACCCTTACTCTAAATAATGTTCCTATCAAGGAAGTCCCCCATCACAAACATTAAGGCTTGACATTTCAACAAAATTGCAATGGAACAAACATATTAACAACATTATAGAAAAAAACAGCAAATCTGTCATTTGTTTAAGATCCATTAAATACAGACTTAACCGGAAATCATTACAAACCAGCTATACCTCTTTTATCCTACCCCATTTTGATTATTGTGATGTCATCTTGGACAACTGCACAGACCAACTAGCTAATAAATTAGAGTACCTACAACTGGAAGCACTTAGGTCCATATGTGGTACTGTAAGGGGTTCCAGCCACAGACTGTTATATGAAGAAACCGGTTTTATTACGCTAAAAGAGAGACGCAGAAGACATAAGCTCAAATTCATTTATAAAATTATAAACGGCCTTTCCCCATCCGATCTTCATGATTTAATATTGACAAAAAGGGCACCTTATAAACTCCGAAAAACAAGCCTACCCGAATATAAATGTAAAAGAAATATCTTCTATAATTCTTGCATACCATCGTCAATTAGAGAACGGAACAAATTAAATGCAGACACAAACAATTCAATATCTCTAAATATTTTCAATTTGAAACTCATTGGCTCAAGATCCAATACCATCAAAAACGTTTTCGTTTGGATCCCGCGTAAACCAAATGATTCATTCTAAACTGCGTCTCTCTTGCAGCAATCTAAACGGACATAAATTTTTACGTTATATTTCTGACAATCAATCCTGTAAATGTGGTCATCAAGTTGAAGACACTGAACATTTTTTATAGAATTGCTCCTTATATTCAGATGCCCGAAATAATACAATAAATAATTTACCGACTATCCATCGAAACACTACAATCTTATTGTACGGAATTGACGACATAGAAAACTCATTCAATATTTTTAAAACTGTCCACTCGTTTTTCGAAATCACCACTCACTGTAGTTATATTTATGTAAATAAATGTATCTATATCTGACAGGGAGAGGGGTTTAATATAGGCTATGCCTGTACCCCAATCCCTATTCTGATACAAATCTGAATAAAAATATTACTTATACAAAATACCCCCCAAAAACCTAAACAATTAACAACTGCTGGTTTTTGTCAAATATAAAAATAAACAGAGTTTTCCAATTAAATTTGCTGTGTTTTAAGCCTTTTAGTATTTCATCTACAAGAGTGATTCGTTAATCCGTCATCAAAGGTGGGGGGGGGGGTGACCGAATGGTTAGCATTTGCGCGCTGTATCATGAGGCCTGTCATTGAGTTAACTGGCGTGGTTTCGAATCCCCGGTTGTACGTGACAAGGAGTAGGGTTGTCTGTCCAGCCTCGTGGGTTTTCTCCGGGTCCTCTGGTTTCCTCCCAATGTTAAAGACCCCTACGCGCAAGCGAACAATTGAAATAAAATTAAAACCACATGTTAGTCCCGAAATGACATAGTCTGTGTCGAGTGGACGTTAAATCCCATTTCTCTCTCTCTCTCTCTCTCTCTCTCTTTCTCTCCATCTTCAAAGAACTCCGAGTGTCAACTTCGGCCTATTTGACATTAAAATGTTTACGAAATTGAATGAGTGACGTTTTACGAATGACGTCAGAATTGTTGAAAGAAATGATCGTATAAATAAATTAATATAACTACAGTTGAAAAAAAAAAAGATCATTTAACATGTTTTGCTCCCGAATGCGACAACACTATCAAGCGTGTTTCATGTGCTAGCCTTGTAAAAATTAAAAAGAATGGAAAAAGCTCTCTATAGGCGATTTTCATTTTGTGATGCCTAATGGTGTACTTTCCCTAGCTAGACTAATAATGTTTGATTAGGAGCGTTCTTAGCCGGCCACATCCTCAGCCCCCCCAAAAAATTCTGTAGCCCCACCAAATTTTATGTTTTTATGAGCTGGCTACGGGCACGGGAAACGTACCGGGGATGTGACACATAACCGGGGTTAAACATAGGGTTTTATTCCGCACCCCTTCATGCGTCAAATTCTAACTTATTCAAGAATTGACCAAACAGGTAATAATACGTTTTTTATCAATGTCGTATAAGACAGTCCCGCCCTTAATTTATATTTAGGTGAATATTAAAGATACATTATGGGAGATAAGATAAAGAGCTGGCAGTTCGCACTATAATAGTTAAAAACAAAATAATGTAAAGGCAACTTGTTAGTGAAATTGATCCACTGTGAACCGAGAGTTAAACGATTGAAATTTCGACCTAACCTCGATCATCATTACTAAAGTCTGTACGATAAAAAAACATAGTCTCGATCATCCGTTTCATGATTAAATTATGAATGGAAGTTGAGCAGCATATGGGATCATAATCCAGTAAATATCACAGGCTAGCCATGCCATAGAGAGTTAATTACGGTCTGGATAATTTAATTAATGTCTAATTAATAATTTAGATAATATTTCAGACCTACAGAAAGACCTGCAATTGACAGATTTAGCTCTTGCATAATGTAAGTTTAAAATATTTATCGTTTCATGTATATATAGATATGACTGTAAACAATATTTCATATCACTTTTATCTCTGAGTAACAAGTTGTTATGTAATTAAATCAAGTTAATGACTACCTGTTATTATATTACTATCTTTCCCGTCTCCATTAGCCCAGCCGGAGCAGAACAGTAGGACGTTCAACCCCATATCATTTGTTCATTTAATATGTTTTATATTGATAGCCAGAGAAGATAAGATGGAATAAGATAAAACCTTACGATCCCAGGAAAGAGAGAGAGAGAGAGAGAGAGAGAGAGAGAGAGAGAGAGAGAGCATAGCCTACATTTTATTTATATGTGTGTTTGAATGAGATAATAATAATAATATTGTCATTTATAAAGCGTGCTAATACTGACGAAAACAGTTTCTAAGGCGCTATTGGTTGTTATATTCATTGATTATTTACAGATCAGGGTTTTGAAACAAGAATGATTTGAGTTGAGATTTTAAATGGCCCACAGACGGTAATTGTTTCATTGACTGTGGTAGTTTATTCCATAGAATAGACATGTTCACAGCCTTAAACGTATTTAGCGCCTAATATCGATTATTTAATAGTTAATACTAAATAATAACAATTGATAAAAATCGACCACCCGTGAATCTTTATAAAAGCTTAATTTTCTATCTACATGCATTATACTGGAAGTTGTCAGAGTAAACATCATGATGTATGTTACGTCACATACATGCGTCGTCTGTATATTCCTGGTGTTGTTGACTTTGAAGACCTGTGGTGGCAAAATATTTCGAGTAGAAGCCGAGTCAGCTAAAGGTAACCATCCCAAACCTTACAGATCGAACGCTAGTAACGGCCGAGATGTTTGGCTACATCGCGATGCGATGCTGTCATTTAGTTTCTGTTCGATCAGAGAAACCAATGTCAATATAAATAATGTTATGTTCTCAAATGACGGAGGAGCTGATACGTGCTCAATAGAATTAAACGGGGTGGTGGTCGGAGAATTTGAATCTACGGCCGGAAGTGATACCGGTCTTCTGTGGAACGATTTCAAATCATCTGGAAATGTTGGATCGAGTATGACACTTGAATCTAGATGGAATACAATCACTTTGTTAGTAAAATCAGCTGATGTCTATGGTATCGAGATAGATCATATTGATGTTCATGTTGAAGATGATGAAGTCAACGAAGATATATTTACATGTATTCTACCATGTTTATCAGATCTACCCGTTGTAACAGCAGCTACATCAGGTCTGACTGAAGGATGGGTCGAACAAAGAAGCTACAGTACTCAATGTGCAGAAGAAGATAACGTAGACGTCGCCGTCTTTAATTCTGACGTCACTAAATACGAGATCACCGCTAGCCTTCCGCGTTATCGATCGTTTTTGAATCTCCGAGACGAAGACACAAGTAACTGTCCTTTCTTAACTCCCCTGTACTGGTTGTACGAAAATGTCATGATTTCTCCAACTACCAAATCCTTGACATCAAACACCGCAGAGTTATTCTTCAGTGACAAGACAGCCCCTGTACCGTACACAATAACTAAGATGGCTGTAACGTTTACCCTACAGGGACGTAATAAAGGTTACATTGATTCCGAGATTGGATCCACATTGTACATGACAATGAATTCACCAGATGCCCCATCAGATGTCGTCGTATCGTACAAACATAGAAACGGTGCAATCGTTGAATTCTCCCCAGTGACCTTTTCAGACAGTATGACCAGCAGTGTTTGGAATATTCCTGATTTCACCTGGAAGGAGGATTTAACTAATAATATTTTTGTGACTGTACAATCCACAGCCTTGGACCAACAGCTGGTGGAGCTAAGACTAGAGAGACGTTACATGGGACCAGACGTGGTTATACCGCTCTATTCCAGTAGCCAGGTCGTCTTGGAGGGTGTACAAGTAGACTTCTGGTGGCAGGCACCGGAAAGCATGGAGTTAGTTCGACCATCAACTGCAGACACATGGAACAACATCGCTTATTTTAGGATATACGTGAGTCTACCTTGGTCAGATGGTTATTCCCAAGTTTTTGTGCTGTACCAGGACGGTAACATGCGTCTACTGAACCCCACGTCACATGGCTTAGACTGGACTCCATTCGGCACCTCTGTGATACTTGGACAAACCAATGTCGATGATTTTCGACCAGCTGTGTCCATCACAAAGGTTGAGATCGAACCCGAAGACCTAACAATGAAAATAATATATTCCGATGGCGGCAGTACGGATGTGAAATTGGTAACGTCCATTGAGAAAACCAAGTTATACGTGTCGAATATTGACTTTAAGAAGAGAACGACCACACATCCATTTGCAACATTTCGGTCCATGTACGTACAGGCTGGCAACACAGACTCCGACTCCATTGTCAGTGATACGTCTACTACTAATCCAATCCTTGGAGGCGATTGGACGACCATCAATGGAACCAGTTTCCTTTTGTACCGTCGATGTGAATCGAAGCATTTAACTCAAAGTCCAGATATTCATCTACAAGTTACTGAAACAGAATAAAACGATTGCTTTAAGATACTTTCACTTAGAACTTTTCTGCGCTTCTTACAAAATCATTTGACGCTCTCCATTGTAATAAACGATTCCCTCTTTAATATACCTTCACCTAAAAATGTTATATTCTTCTTACGAAAGCAGTTGACTCTCTTCTTTGCGTTTGTTTCTAATTGCAATAAATGATTTCCTCTTAAAATATTTTTTATTTCCATTACTTGGATTGCAGAATCGATATGGTACGATTGCTGATTTTCTTTCTGTTTCTGGTTGCAAACTACCTCATTTAAACCGTTTTCCAATTCCCCGTTGTCCCTCTGGAGCCACAGTGGCTCGGTGTGTAAGACGTTGGTTCACTAACCTGGAGGTCCCGTGTTCGATCCCTGCGTTGGCCGAAAAAGTTCATCGGGATTCTCTGGCGTAGTTCGTCCTTGTCAGTGGTGCAGGACCGAGGGCCTGTCAAGGAACAGCGTGTAGTCGTTCGGATAGTACACTAAAAATCCGTTTTTCTGCGTACACATTGGCGTGCACGTTAAAGATCCCTTGGCAGTTGGAATTCGATATAAAATTAAGCCGTAGCGCCGCTGTCCGGGCAAAATTACCGTCATAGCACACTGTATGGCGTATGCTCGTCTTCATTAGCCCAGACGGAGAAGAACAGTAGGACTTTAAACCCCATTTCATTTCATTTCTGCTTTCCTTAGAACACTGATTGGTTAAACATGGGAACTGCTCAAACTCAAGGGGTATCGGGTGTTATAGAAAGACTGTGTATACCATGCCTCGTGTTCCACACCTGTCACCATTTATGGCAACAGCGTCCATTCTACAACACCCGCGCCCCCATTTAATCTTTCAGGGTCACCCATATAATAGAACCCGGGTAAATGGACCGCCCCCTTTGCTCCGTAAACTACCCTTTTTCTGACTGTCTTATAAATATCTAGCCCGCCTATAATCACATATACAATACCCAAATCGAACTCTGGACGCCCTTACCCTCCCATAACCACAAACACAACTTCTAAATTGTCCTTCGACCACCCTTTGAACTCCCGTGTAATAAATAACAAACCCTTTAACCCGTCTTAAATATTTACAATTTTCAATAATTTTATTATGACAATGTTGATATCATTAAAATATTGAAAAATACATTGATAACACCAGAAAAAAACCATTTCGAATCATGAGAGTGTGGGGGAGTGGATGGTCGAATGATTAGTGCGGAAGCGTGGAACCATAAGGTCTGTCATTGAGTCAACTGGCGTGGTTTCGATTCCCCGGTTGTACGTGACAAGGATTAGGGTCGTCTGTCCAACCTCGTGGGTTTTCTCTGGATCCTTCAGTTTCCTAGCACTGCTAAAGACCCCTACACACAAAGCGAATTATTAGAATAAAATGTTAGTCTCGAAATGACTTAGTTTGTTTCGAGTGGACGTTAAACCTCTCTCTCTCTCTCTCTCTCTCTCTCTCTCTCTCTCTCGATTACATTTGATCATTCATCTAGAACGTAGAGTATCAGTATCTATACAAATATCAAATTAATTATTGCGTAATGTGGTTTTATCTTTGAATGTATTCTATTATATATACTCCCCATATCTATCATACAGATATATGTCCACAGATTTATGGTTTCAAATTACAGGATTTAATTATAGATACACAAGTATACGGTTTTATTGTATCATATGCAATTCCATAAAAGCCGACACGTTTGTAAAATACAGCACTATATTCCTTATTAAAGGAAGCAAGTCTTTAACTCAATATCATCCACAGTCTTCGACATTGCAAACACGACTTATTGGTCAATTTAAATGTTGTTATCTTACTGTAAAAAGATGGGCTTCTGATATCCCATATTTAAGACAAAATGAACATTTCAAATTTGGCACACGATTTACTTGCCCGAATGCTTTCGAGCACCATTTGTAATGAAGCGACTCGATGAGCGAGGCTAAACACCCCCCCCCCCCCCACAACAGAATACTGCCATTCAAGTTAGACTCTTCGACTATTTCGCTGAACATAACTGATTAGAAATCACAGTAAAGACAGACACGATTGAATGTAAATCAGTTTATATACATTCATATTACGTTATTATATGCGTTGCGACACATTTGTGTCCATTTAATTTCTAGGTGCCAAAGAATACATGTTTAGCTCCTTTAAGATCCGCAATTATTACAGCATGTAATGGGTATTTGTTATGGGTACTAACTGAACCGCTGCATGCGCTATTATTGTATTTGGACAAGTTCAGTTTTATAAATAAGATATCTTTAATAGAAGTGACTAAATACTTTAATGCTAATCTCAGGCATATTGATTGGGACTGAGTTAAATACTGTAATCCTAACATCCCATGTGATCTGATTTACGAGCCCCTTTGTTCTGTAGATTAAGAGTTAATTCCCTTTGTTTATTAGCGGGCCAATGAAACCACCTGTCGTATTTAGAGATCTGTTGTTGTTATCTGAAGGATTGGAAATACTGGTGCTTTCAAAACTTTCTATTTAGTTTCCGTCTTACTAATTACCTTTTAGTGTGTCTAATATACCGGAAGGGTTGGGTGGCCTAATGGTTAACGCGTGCGTGTTCCTTCATACGGTCTGTCCTCGAGTCAAATGGCATGGTTTCGATTCCCCGCTTGTGCCTAGTCGCCTGTCCAACCTCGTTTGTTTTCCGCGGTTTCTCCGATTTCCTCCGACTGCTAAATAGTAAGACCCTACGCACAAGCGAATGAATGAAATTAAATTGAACCATATGTTAGTCCCGAGTTATCTAGTTTGTGTCGAGTGGACCTTAAAACCCATCTCAATCTCTCCCCCGCCCCCTCTCTCTCTATCTCAGATGGGCATTGTAGTAGTAACGTTTTATGGTTACTATCACGATGGGCCGTTTTTTATATTGACCCTTTTCTCTTGTAATTCCATTTCCGTAAGAGTTCATGATCTTGAATTAAAGAAGCATTATGCAAGAGAACAGTCGTCATATTGCAGTTCTTTTTTCTGGAGAGGGGGGGGGGGAAGGATGGCCGAATGGTAAGCTCGTACGCGTTGTATCATAAGGCCTCTCTTTGTGTCAACTGGCGTGATTTCGAATCCCCGGTTGTACGTGACATGGAGTATTGTCGCCTGTCCAACCTCGTGGGTTTTCTTCGTGCCCTCCGGTTCCCTCCCACTGCTAAAGACCCCTACGCGCAAGCGAATTATTGAAATAAAAGAAAATTAAACCATATATTAATCCCGAAATGACCTAGTTTGTGTCAAGTGGACGTTAAACCCATCTCTCTCTCTCTTTCTCTCTCTCTCTCTCTCTCTCTTATATAAATTATTATTTAGACAAGTCTATAATCTAGAACACCGGATTGCGCTGTATCATAAGGTCTGTCATTGAGATAACTAGCGTGCTTTCGATTCTTCGGTTGTACGTGACAAGGAGTAGTGTCGCCTGTCCAACCTCGTAGGTTTTCTCAGAGTCCTCCGGTTTGCTCCCACTGCCAAAGACGCAGACCCGCAAGGGAATTATTGAAATACATTTGTCCATATGTTAGTCCCGAAATGACCTAGTTTGTGTGGAGTGGACGTTAAACCCCATTTAGTCAATTGGCGTTGCTTCGATCACAGACTTGTACGTGACAAGGAGTGAGGTTATCTGCTTAACCTCGTGGGTTTTCTCCGGGTCTTCCGGATTCCTCCCACTGCTAAAGCCACTACGCACAATCAAATACTTGAAGTAAAATTGTACAATGTGTCAGTCCTGAAATGACTTAGCTTGTGTTGAGTGGTCGTTAAAACCCAAACATCTCTCACCGAATAGATTGGGACAATCCGTGCTGTTGAATTGTGGAGCAGTACTTAAAAAATAAAACTTCTTTGTTCAAGAAAACTTTATTGAGATCGCAGAAACTGCGAGGAATTTTACAAAGACATGTTACAAAACTGTGTTTTTTTTGTTTATAATAATTCTAGTTTGGAATATGTGATTCGGGGGGGGGGGGGGGAATTGGTTGATGTTGCACAGACTCCATTCTAATATCACCCACACACAAAAAGAATAAATTTAGTGTTCTGGAGTTAAAGGTCTTTAGATTTCTTGATTTTTTGCATGCTTCCGATGTACGATTCATTCAGTTATTCAAATGTCTGAAAATATAAAGATACATGGGTGAATTATGTGAGTATACCCTCCACGGGTCAACAATTAAAGGACCATTGACAGCCAATCATGTAATTTAATGCGGACTTCCTAGAGGTAGTTCAAATGGCAGCCAATCCTTCAATTAATTTCCCACCCGAAAAACTATACGTTGTCCCCTGCCAGGCCCTCTCTCCTGCATCACCGACAATGGGGACAAGGCCGGATAATCCCGATTAACTTTCTCGGCCAACACCGGGATCGAACACGGAGTCTCAAGGTCAGCGAACCAACGCCCCACTCACTGAGCCACCGGCAGCTTAATACATGATTTAATATACTGTTCGAATGGCATTTAGTAATTGAACACATTAAAAATAAACACAACAGTTCTATGAATAACAATCCCCGGTTGTACGTGACAAGGAGTAGGGTCGCCTGTCAAACCTCGTGGGTTTTCTCCGGGTCCTCCGGTTTCCTCCTACTGCTAAAGACCCCTACGCGCTAGCGAATTATTGAAATAAAATTAAACCATATGTTAGTCCCGAAATGACCCCTCTCTCTCTCTCTCTCTATGGATAACAATTACTGTAATTCTATTAAAGCTACGTTTCAACAAAGATTCTCTTGTCGTTAGAACTGTTGTGTTTATTTCAACATGGTTTAATCTTATTCAGCGAAATATTTACCTGGAACACAGCAACTACTACCGTTCCCACAGGCACCAAAGTCTGTTTCATCAATCTCACAGGTGTCACGACAATTACCCACAAACGTACCACAGACTTAAAGGGAAGTTTGGAATATTTTAACAAATGAAATGAAATGAAATGGAGTTTAACATCCTACTGTTTTGCTCCGAACTGGGCTAATGAAGACGGGCATACGCCATACAGTGTGCTATGAGGGGAATTTTGCCCAGACAGCGGCACTACGGCCTACTCTTATATCGAATTCCAACTGTCATGGGATCTTTTACGTGCACGCCAATGTGTACACGAGACCTCGGTTTTTCGTCTCATCCGAATGACTAGACAGCTGTCCTTGTCAGGCCCCCTGTCCTGCATCACTGAAAAGGGGGAACGGAATATTTTAAGAAGATTTCATCCAAATAAATTGGTTTGAAAGATAAGGAATGGATTTTGTCTATGCAATCTACAAACATTTGTTCATTAAATCCACAGCTTACCAAACCATCACAGACTTAAAATGTTTCAAGATCTTTTTAATTGAAAGGGAAGGGTTCGAAAAAATATAAGGAATGGATTTTGCCCAATCTTCCTGATTTGTCGTACTATTCCGTGGACATGATGTTCTTATGAAGCCAAGTAAAAAGAGTAACCTCTGCGCCAACGGTTTGATGAAGAATAGCAAACGCCATGCAGTGTGTTATGAGGGTAATCGTGCTTGGACAGTGGCGTTTCCGTCTAGTTTTGGTCGCATACCAGCCGACATAAGTTATGTACATGAGACCCCGGTTTTCGTGCGTCTCACAACGCAGAAAAATCACTAAGACACGTTCTCTGCCAATAACTCCAGACCTCCTGGCAGTGAACCAACGCCTTGTCACTGAGTCCCCGTGCTGCCTCAGATTGGTAACTTCTGGGTCGGTTCGAACACACTTATCGCTGCCTCCCGAGATAAGTGAGTCCCATAATAGTTACCTCTGAAAAGTGCGAACTGCGAATGGAAAAGAGGAAACCGAGGTTAATTTTAAGTATACAAGAAGAACTGAAAGCAAATTAATTAACATAGAAATTTGCAAAATGTAATTATATACAACGGAATGAAATGTACACTTACATGGATCGAAGCGGATTACCGTGGTTGCTGTTGTAGGAGCTTCTGCAACTTCTGTAGGAGCTTCTGTAACTTCTACAGGAACTTCTATAACTTCTGTAGGAGATTCTGTAACGTCTATAGGAGCTTCTGTAACTTCAAGAGGCTGTATTGTAACATCTATAACAGGTTCTTCATTTACTGGAAATATATTTAATGTACAATATGTTATAATGTCTCAATGGTAATATTTACTGGAAATATATTAATGAACAATATTGTATAATGTCTCCATGGTAATATTAAAGTATCCGCGACTTTTAACAGCTAAAAACAAAACAAAACATGTATATTTATCCAATTTACCGTATCTGTTCTACGTTAGCTCGTGTTGAAAACCACCAACCTGTTTTAAGCGTCGGCATGTATAATAGACGGTGACGGAGACGGAGTCGTGGAAGGATGTCGGGGGGAGATTGGGTTTAATGTCCTAGTTTCTACCTCAAACCGGGATAATATGGACATGCTGTGCTATAAGGAAATCTACTATGGGCGGGATTCGAGTGTCTCTTCCCAATCTCCATCGAATTCCAACTGCTAATTCTAAATTCCAAATGCCTTGCTCCACTGACAAGTGGAAGCAAGACTGAATTCACACCTGAGAAGCAAGACTGAATTCACACCTGAAACACGAGGATCGAACCCCGAACCTCTTGGTTACTGAGACAGCGTTTTACGCACCGAAGTACCGTGGTGGCTCTATGGAGCGAAAACCCCGTTAATGCACCTCGAACAGTTTCACGAGGAACCAAATAAATATCATTTTTTAGTCAATAAGCTCAATAATATGCTGGGGGGGGGGGGGGGGGTCTCAAAAATTGTATTCAAAACTATTTCTAAATATCAGTAGAAACATACTTTGGGACCTAAAGGGGGTACAAACATTAGTTAAACTCTGATTCCTATCGACATATCACATTTCATGCCTCTGGCATGTCAACTATTTTTCATTGTATGGTCTGTAAAATGTTGGCCTCCGCTGAAGAATAAACCAAAATGAATTTTGATGCCTTCGGTGTCCCGGGTAAAAAGTTTAAAATTTGAATTAAATAAAAAGGACACTGTGATATTCCATAGTCGTTTCAGCGATCAAAAAAACAAAGAATATGTAAGTTTACCAATAAAATAAATTGTAACATCCTAACTTACTACTTTCAGATTCTTCCACATGCTTCTTTCTGCAATCATGTGGTCGCGATCCAGAAGTGAAAACTCTCTTTCCAAATTTGCCCGCTTCTGACTGCAAGACCAAGGCAAGAACGACAAATACAGCAACGGCTACTGAGAGATTCATGATAAATTTTCTTCGTGTACTATGAACAATCTCTGAACACAAGATCTGTATGATAAAGATCCATCATACAAGCTAGTATTTATACAGAAACTCTGCTCAAAGTGGGCGATTTAATTAAATTATTAATTAGTGTACAAATTCTTTGAAATGTGGCGGAACTCCATTTGTAGATAGATATTAACTACCGTTATTGAGATAATATCAATAAAAGTACCAAATATTAGCTACCATTATTGAGATATTACCGATAAAAGTGTCATTATTTATTTGAAGTGTTGTATATTAATTATATATTAAAAATAAGAATATCAATAAAGAAATTTATCAAAGTAAACAAATCAATTAACCTATTATCATTAAATATATTGGGTATTAATGGGGAAACGTGTTTAGTATATTATATATATACTATTCAAAAAAAGTAGGGGATATTTGATTTTGGGGGCATAATACTAAAATATGCAAATGACTACGAAAAAAGTCACTATAGAACCTAACAGAAGAAACATTACCAGTTACATGTGACGCCCAAACGCACCAATAGCTACCGCATGGAATGCAGGTGATGCTTGGAATCATCATGGGGGTCCAACCCAAGATTTGCACGACTCTGACTTTGAATGTTACAGTCATTGTGGCATTGAATTCCAGGGTGGAAACATCAGTTTAATTGTTTTAGTGACCAGAAAACAAATTTTGATATGCGTCGGCTTACCCAAAATGAAAGGTTACGTGCCCTTGGCATGCTACAGATCGGCACAACACAGGCGGTTGTGGCGCGGACGATGAATGTTTCTCAGTCTGTCATAAGCAGGCTATGGTCCAGATACCGTGATACACAATCTGTACAGGACAGACCACGCTCAGGTCGACCAAGGGCGACAACTCAAGCCCAGGATCGATTTATCCGTACCTTGGCCTTGAGAAATCGTGTCATCACAGCAAATCAGATCAGCGCTCGTCTTCAAACAGACACTGGTGTGAGAGTGAGTGGCCAGACGATTCGGAATCGACTGCATAGGGGTCACCTTCGCGCCCGACGTCCTCGCGTGATCCCTTGTTTGAGAGATCATCACATTCAGGCAAGACGTCGTTGGTGTAGGGATCGTCAACACTGGGATAATCGACGCTGGAGCAATGTGATGTTTTCAGATGAGTCAAGGTTCACTGTTGATTTTTTGGACAGACGTAGGAGGGTGTGGCGTCGTCGAAACGAGCGCTTCCAAGACGTTAACGTCATCAGACATGATCGATTTGGGGGTGGTTCTGTTATGGTGTGGGGAGGCATCACTGTTGCTGGAAGAACGGCTTTACATGTTGTTGCAGGGCGTGTTACAGGCCAGTACTACCGGGACAACATCTTGGCAGTCCATGTTGTGCCGTTCGCACGACGTCATGGCCGCCGTTTCATCTTCTAGGATGACAACGCAAGATGTCACAGGGCCAGGATCGTTACAGGTTACCTCCAACAACAGAACATCACCACATTACCTTGGCCAGCACTGAGTCCCGACCTCTCCCCCATCGAGCATGTCTGGGACATGCTTGGACAGAGGTTACGTCAACGTCAACAACGTCCTGCCAATGTCCAAGAACTTGCTGCTGCGTTGCAACAGGAATGGGACAATCTGGACCAAAATGACCTTAGACGTCTCATTAGGAGTATGCCACGTCGGATCAATGCTTGTTTGGCAAACAGAGGAGGATTTACTCGTTACTGACTTGATTGTGATGCTGTGGTAACTTTGCTGTTTGACCCCGGGTAACATTTTACCCTTATAATGGTCAGTCTGTGCCTTACTTAGTCTAACGATCATTTGGAATAAATCGATGAATGTGAACTTCATTTCATTTTGTCATTTGTTTCTTCGTCAGTTTCATTAGGTGACTTTAATAACACTTAAAAATCAAATATCCCCTACTTTTTTTGAATAGTATATATAGTGTGACTCAGTTCCACTTAAACAAGGAAGTTGGATGACCGAATGGTTAGCTCGTGCGTACTGTATCATAAAGTCTGTCACTGGGTCAACTGGCGTGGTTTCGATTCCCCGATTGTACGTGACAAGGAGTAGGGTCGCCTGTCCAACCTCATTGGTTTTCTTTCCCTCTCTCTCCCTCCACATTATCAAGGGGTAAATTATCATATTTCAGCTATATAATATATTCATGCTTAATTATTCATAATAGTAAGTGCAAAGACAAACATGCGGACAAGATACAGACTGATCAGATATTGCAAGCATCAAACAACAACTATCAAAACAATTAAATAGGTCCAAACAACGCCAAGCAATGACAGAGCGTTTGTTTTAAAGCGCACCCCTTTTCGAAGAGAGTGTGACTGGGTGTATGTGACTGGGTGTGGGTGTGTATGCATGTGAGATAGTATAAACACTAATGATTAGTGGACGAAAATCTGTGTGTTCGTCTCCTAACTACCCAGATCGAGAACTCTTGCACCTCTTCTACTTGTAAAATACTCAACAGTCTGTATCTTGTCCGCATGTTTGTCTTTGCACTTACTATAATGAATTATTCAGGATGACTATACTATATAGCTGAAATATGATAATTTACCCCTTGATAATGTGAAGATGAACTGAACTATATATATATATAATATACTAAACACATGTTCTCCATTAATATCCAATATATTTAATGATAATAGGTTAATTGATTTGTTTATTTGATAAATTTCTTTATTGATATTCTTATTTCTATAATTATTAGTTCAATATATAATTAATAGACACCATTTCAAATAAATAATGGCACTTTTATTGGTAATATTTCAATAACGGTAGCTAATATTTGAAACATTTATTGGTATTATTTCAATAACGGTAGTTGATATTTATTTACAAATGAAGTTCAGCCACATTTCAAAGAACTGGTATACCAATTAATAATTTAATCAAATCGCCCACTTTGAGCATGGTTTCTGTATAAATACTAGCTTGTATTATGGATCTTTATCATACAGATCTTGTGTTTGAGCTTGATCATAGTAGACGAAGACAATTTATCATGAATCTTTCAGTAGCCCTTGCTGTATTTGCTCTCTTGACCAAAATCTGTCCTCGAAATTTTCAACCTGTGTGTTCGTCTCCTAACTACCCAGATCGAAAACTCTTGCAACATTACCGGGCACCTCTTCTACTTGTAAAATTCTCAACAGCCGGTTGCTGTGGGATATGTTTAATTTCCATTCAGCTGCCATGTGAGTTCCTTCACTCGCATTCACACAGCATTTATGCTGCGCATTTTTGGGAGAGTTCTGTATCTGTATAAGTATGTCTTGTGGCATTGAAAATGATCAAGATATGCTCAAAAACGAGTAAATTAATGTGCAGTTTTAGTCATATTTTGTTGGACTTAAGTTTTGACTTCAAACTGAAATAATCGAAAATGTGACCGATTGCTTGGCAGATTACAACTGGCCATGATGTTTTTGTACGCCCAGATATTCACGTGGACGTATATTGTCGTCGCCCCTGTCCGTCCGTCCGCCCACTCTACAGGTCACAATTTTTATTCGATTTTGACGAAACTTAAAATATAGGTCTGTACGAAAAATCATGTTTTTAGCTTGTGGACACTCTAGAGGTCACAATTGTCATCTGATTTTGATGAAACTTGGTTCCTTTCGATATTTGCGCATATCAGATTGTAACTTCTAGAATTATGGCACCCGATTGTACGAAAAATCGCGTTTCTAGCTTGTGGTCCCTCTAGAGGTCACAATTATTATGCGATTTAATAAAACCTTTGAATATATCACCATTACACTGTAATAGTGCTTGAGTTCGAATTTCGTGAAAATCGGACCAAAACTGTCGGACAAAATGGCCGCTCCTCGTACGCGATTGGTGTACAAATATGGTATTTCAAGGTTGTGGACCCTCTAGAGGTCATAATTTTGGTCCGATTGTGATGAAACTTGAAATACGTGTTAATAGCCCAGCGAGTCTGGCTGGATGAGCTTTGATAGAATGACTTTATTCTATTACTAGCAGGATACCCGGCTTCGCTCGGGGGTCATAAATCCGAAACGGGAGGGGTAGACTACCGCCACCTGGCCTATGTTACTCCCCGGTCCGAGCTACCCCTGTACCCCAAATTTCAGACTCGGGCAGACCTAGTGTAGCCGCCAACCCCGGACAGACAGACAGACAAACAGACAGACAAACGACAGTCACAAATATTAGTATAGATGCATTGTACCATATGTAAGCAGCTATGATATATAAAATGTAAAAACGAACTGTTGCAATGTTATTCCCGGAAAGACAGACGTCTTAAGAAAACAGTAAGAAGTAAATACACAACATGAAGCAGAAGTAAAGACAGTCAGAGACAAATTCTAGACGATCAAAAGGCTACTAAAATATGTAGTGAGAAAAGATGCATGGGTCGTACGTAGGATGTGGCGACCGGTTTTCCCGCGTCCGCTCTCCACGTCTGACAGAAGACTCATGATGCTACAACTGTTTTATCATGAAATGGTAATTTGAAGATATACCTAATGGAGTTAGGTGGTTCCTTATACCATTTACGGGGAATCCCCTACCCTAATACATGTTGACGCGAACCCATTACGTATATTCATAACTCTGTACTACTTCATCACTTACTAACATATTTGTTATGTGCATATTTTTGAGGTCCCTACCCTCAATGACCAAATGTCATGGAAGATGCGTGAAGCAAGACACGAAAACTAATGCAGTCGAAATTATTTACTAATTAGTTCATCATACTCATAAAATGTGGAAGAAATTATTTACCAATTCTTGATGCTATCTATATGATTTCTAAGGCACGTGGAGTGCTTTTCATTAACTGAGCAACATATGGTAAAATAAGCGCCAATCACAGTTTGCTAGGCTATACAACGTTATACTTTCATAGAAACTCAAGGCCAGTAGCGGATCTGGAAGCTGTGCATGGGGGTGTGGGGGCGGTTCCAAATCTAGGGGCCATCCATAATCCCACCCGCAATGAATGTCAACAAAACAC